CCAATGAAAACCCTGTGGATCACAACAGTCAGATCCACAATTGATCATGGGGATGGCATAGGACTGGGCAACAACTTCATTCCATTGTGCATGTGGTCTTCGTGAGTTGGGAGCCAGGGCAGTGTGTCAGCCCTTCTAATTATTCTTCTATGATTAGGCTGAGAGGTAGGGCAGTGGTTCTCAGCTAGGATGACCAGCAGTCCCATTTTGCTTGGGACTGACGTGTTTCTTGGGATTTGAGGCTTTCAGTTTTAAAACCAGGGAAGTCCCAGGCAAACTGGGATGAGTTGGTCACCCTATTCTCAGCCCTGGCTGCACATTAGAATCACCTGAAAACCTGTTGCTGTCAAGTTGATTCCAACTCATAGCGACCCTATAGGACACAGCAGAACTTTCCCACAGAGTTTCCAAGGTTGTAATCTTTACGGAAGCAGACTGCCACATCTTTCTCCTGTGGAGCAGCTGGTAGATTTGAACCACTGACCTTTCAGTTAGCAGCCAAGTGCTTAACCACTGCACCACCAGGGCACCTTAGAATCACCTGAGATCCTAATTTAATGAATCCAGGTAGGGTCCTAAATGTGAGTATTTTTGTTTTCTTTAAGCTCCCAGGTTGATTTCAACAAACTACCGGGACTGACAACAACTAGGTTAAACGCAACATCCCTAAATAACCATTGTTGTTGGTAGGTGCTGTCAAGTCACTTCTGACTCATAGCGAGCCTATGTAAAACGGAACGAAATACCGCCCAGTCCTGCAGCATCCTCACAATTGTTGCTATGTTTGTGCCCATTGTTGCAGCCATTATGTCAGTCCAGCTCATTGAGGATCTTCCTCTTCTTTGCTGACTCTCTACCAAGCATGATGTCCTTCTCCAGGGACTGGTCCGTCCTGATAACAGGTCCAAAGTATGTAAAATGAAGTCTCACCACCCTCCCTTCTGAAAAGCATTCTGGCTATACTTCTTCCAAGACAGATTTGTTCATTCTTCTGACAGTCCATGGTATATTCAATAGTCTTCACCAACACCATAGTTCAAAGGCATCAGTTCTTCTTTTGTGTTCCTTTTTCATTGTCCAGCTTTTGCATGCATATAAGGCAACTAAAAATACCATGGCTTGGGTCAGGCACACCTTAGTCCTCAGAGTGACATCTTTGCTTTTTAACACTTTAAAGAGGTCTTTTGTAGCAGATTTGCCCAATGCAATATGTCGTTTGATTTCTTGACTGCTGCTTCTAGGGCGCTGATTG